AGGGGATCTCGTAGTCGAGCAGTCTCGACTAGAGCTTTCTTACTTGTTTAATTTTAATTTTTTCAAATGATATTTTTTAATTTGTTAGCTTTTTTTATTGGTATTATTTTATTGTATTTTATTTAACTTTACAATTGGTTTATCCTTTTATCAGAATTTAGTCTAAGCTCTACATTTTAAGATTTTCCATTGCAAATTATATTTGTATTTACAAAAAGAAATAAGAAATACAAAATAAATATATACATATATACATATATATTATCATATATACCTATATCGAACTCAAAGGATTTCTAGTATTCAAAAGGCTTTTGCTCCAACGAGAAAGCTCATATATCTCAGAATATAAACAAAGGGAACATGACGATATATACATGCATCTATATATATATATACATATATGTATGCCTAAGGTATACCTACTATAGAGCACTGTGAACTAGCGGCTCGTGTTATTCTCTGTTATCAGCAGAGAATGTAATGAAAAAGTGCAAATGCAGTGAATGCAGATATTTGGGTCTGATAAGGACGCGCACTTGGCGCATTTGGCGCACATCGCGTCCGATCCGCTCCGGCAGTTGTGTCAACAGTGGCGAGTCGACAACACACGGAATTATAGACATATGCATACATCTGGTATATCTGTCGACTGTTTATAATGCAAAGTCAAAACCTGAATTGGGGCATTGCAGCAGCTGGTCGAGTCACCCAAGACTTTGTCACTGCCCTGGGCACGATTCCGAACTCGCGCCACGCAGTGTTGGCCGTCGCAGACGTCGAGGGTCCGCGTGCCCAGGAGTTTGCGCAGCGCAATCAAATCCCGAGGCACTACGATGGCTTCGAGGCGCTCTCGTTGGACAAGGAGGTGGATGTGGTGTATGTGGGCACCTTGAATCCCTTCCACTATGCTGTGGTGCGGCTGATGCTCATCCGGGGCAAGCATGTGCTCTGCGAGACACCGCTGTGCCTGGGCCTAGAGCAGGCCCAGGAGCTCTACAAGTTGGCCGAGCAGCGAGGCGTATTCCTCATGGAAGGTGAGTGAATCAACGAAGATGTTGGGATTACCAATTCATAATTAACTGTCCTGGCAGGCATGTGGAGTCGTTGCTTTCCCAGCTATGAACGGCTGCGCGAGCTGCTCCTTGGCGATGCCATTGGCGAGGTGAAACTAGTGAAGCTGCAGCACGGCTTCCGTTTGGCCAATGAGGAGCGTGTGGCCAGCCGCGCCCTGGGCGGCTCCATTACCCTGGACATTGGCATCTATGCGCTGCAGCTGGGCCAGTTCGTCTTTGGCTCGGCGCCCGTCAAGATCATTCCCAGCGGCACTCAGCTGAATGCGGAACGCGTCGACGTTCAAACCGAATTCATATTGGACTATGGCGATAATCGACGTCTGATTGCGCTCATTACTGGCCTGGAGACTCTGGAGAACGATGCGATCATCGTGGGCACCAAAGGCGAGATTAAGGTGAGATTACCGCACAAACAGCTGTGACCTTCCCAACCCGATGAGAATAAAGTGTTGACACTGCACATTTAGGGTATAGTCAAGTGATTTTGAAAGGATTTCTCAGCAAATTCCAGATAGTTTTATTTGTATTTATTTACTTTATATTATTTATTTATT